TCGAAGGTTACATATTGTAAAAAAAGCAGCAGAGAAGGAGGTCAAATTCCTGACTCCCTTCCTCCTAATCTGTCTGTTCCCCTTTTACAGCAACATGCTGCGAGCGTAAACATCCACGCTTACTTTCCCTTCACAGCCACACAAGGACTAACAGTGCTGCTGGCAGACTACAACAGGCAGCTGTACATCACCAGGCTTTCAACAACACAGTTTGTGCAGTGCACTGGCATAAGAAAGCAATACATTCAAGATAAAATGCCAGGGCAGAGGACCGTAAAAACGATCAAGTTCAGGTTGACAAGGTCACAAGAAAGAGACAAAAACAGCTAACTTTATGACTGTTATGTATATATATATATATATAAATACACAATGAGGCAAAGTCGCACAATGAAAAGAGGTTCTCAGAGGGCTGTTTTTATATTCGGTAAAGCTGAGGACTGTAAAAGTGATAAAGGTTGTTGTAAGAGCGGAGAATTCATCGCAGGAAGTCTAGATGTTGCCATTATTGTGAGGAGTCGAGAGAGGGATTAATGTTACTATGTCTCTATCTGGTTAAAGCTCCTACATGTATCCTTCATTTTGTATTGATTCTGAAGATCCCTGTGGACAAAACCAGTAGTGTTTCTACTGAATCGTTCTACCGAATCGTTTCATCGATTTCAAGGGCAATCCAACCGAATCTGACCCAGTGGCAGCTTTAACTACATATAACAGCCAATATTCTCGCTGATTGTCTGGTTTGTTTATGTAGGTCTTATTGGGGCATCAGTATTCAACTGAGACTGTTTCATAATCAGTTAAAAACCTCCTTGTAGAGTGTATTACGTCTTTGTTAGGACAATAACCAATGTCTATCTTCAGGTCAAGAATTAAGTTAGCATTAATAAACACGCAAAGTCCAGTTAGACTTTCAAAATAAAGCTTGCTGAGAAACATTACACATGACTTTAAATAGCCACAGATTGGTTAGATTCAGACACAAAAACTACCTCATGAGGGTCACTGACCAAGCTGCCATATGATTTGATGACGTATAGCTGCATTTAACAGCAGAATCTAAATGTAGACACCTAAAACATCTCATTTCTGTACAGTGTGATGCCTCCATTTCTACAGAATTACTTCTATTAAGAACGTAGCAGACAGCAACGCTTCCGGTTTTTGTCAAGATTCTTCCAAAAACAAAAAACTCAGTCTAATTGTAAAGATGCAAATAAACATTTTGCTTATTAATAATTTACCAGCAGCGCCACACAGAAGCATTGTCTTGTTTTATGAGGGAGGAAGAGGCAATAACTTCCCCACTTCCTACGGCGCTACATGCTCCTCCGAAGCACCTTTCAGACAGAGACGCCTCAGACAGGCTGTTACTGCAACAAGTAACTGGCAGTATGAATCCCGAAACACCTCCTGTGTTTGTTTTCAAATGTTCCGTTTGATTTTGATATTCAGCAAAGCCGAGCATTCGTGTCTCTCTGATTTTCCGCTCATGATTTACACTTTGGCTTAGTGCGAGTGCTGAAGGAAGATGACATTTTGTCTCAAAAGCTGTCAAGTTCGTCTCCAGTCCCCTCTGTGTTTCCCTCTCTGGCTTATCCTCCCTTTCACTGCCAGTCCAATGACTCTTCCCCTCTCCGATCCCCCCCTCTCACTTTCCTCCTCATCTCTCTGGATCGGCCTTTTAATTTTCCCCCTCGGTCTCATCATTTCCACCTGTTTTTTTCCAGGGGACGTGACTGTGTCAGTGTTTAGATGATGTGACTGTTCAGATGAAGATAATAGGGAATTCAGAAACACTCTTTGCTGCTAATGGAACCGCACTGCCTCGGGGAAACTGATGAAAGAACATTTTGCTTTTAAGTAGTTTAAACATCAACCGGCATTTCTTTTCTTTTTTTCATGGAATCAACCTCTTGTGCTCGATGTACTGCAAATTCAGTCATTTCCAAATGAGATATCCATGTTGAAAAACAAGACACCTACAGAGACAAAATGATTGCCTCCATGAATATATAACTGAGTGGTGAATATCTTTGAAGCTGTAAGTACCACGAGCCTTCTCATTACAAAATAATAACCTTTTTGGAGGGTACAACTCTTTCCGTTCCCCTTAAAAGGATGAACATCAGAATAGATTTAAATAAAATGTAATAATTGGTCTTTTCTGTCATTGTAAACCCTGATACGCTTTTAACTTGTTGGATATAAATCTTTAAGGCTCATTAAGACAACAGCTCCTCCGTGTTCCGGTTTATTTCTTTAGACAGAAGTCAGTGATCTTTATAAGACTGGCTGATTGAACTCTTGAAGGGAGTATTTCTACATATATATTTCTACATATATTTGAATATGATTTTTGTTTACTCAATAGTTCATTGTTTGTAGGATCAGCGTCATTATCGTTAAATAGATTTCTATCCCGTCATTTAGATTCAGAGTCACGATCAGGGTAACTCCAGGTACTGCTTACAGTTCTTAATGTGTTTTTCTGCTCCAGTGTTCATCAGGTCCATTTACAAACAGAGATAAATCACACTGTAATGGTTTCCATGAGGTTCGGTTCCCAGATTCTCAGTAATGATTGTTTTTCTATTTTCTTTTTCAAATCAGTCTTTTTCTCTCATTCCTCTTACACCTGGATTCATTCTTTCTCTCATTCATCTGGATAAATTCAAATACAACAAAGTCTTTTTCCAACAGATTGCCGTCAGCTCTTTTCTTTACCTCTACCTTACAACCTCTTTGTAAACTCACTCTATTTCCCTCTCCTTACCTCCTCCTCCAGGTAAATTCACCTGTATCGAGGCTCGTTTCCACCTGGAGCGTCAGATGGGCTACTACCTGATCCAGATGTACATCCCCTCGCTGCTTATTGTCATCCTGTCCTGGGTTTCCTTCTGGATCAACATGGACGCCGCGCCCGCCCGTGTGGGTCTGGGCATCACCACCGTGCTGACCATGACCACGCAGAGCTCTGGTTCCAGAGCCTCCCTGCCGAAGGTGAGGACAGGTCAAGCGCACCTTTTACAGTTTTTGTAATAAAGCACATCAGCTGCTGTTGGACAGTAACTTTGTATGAAGTTAGACTTTATAAAGTCTTTATGATTGAGCTGAAACAGGGAACTAAATTACAGTTTGTGGTTGTAGAGGGAGATGAGGGAAGTCCCTGCGCCCAGTTGTTGTTTTCAAAGAAATAGTTCCAACATGTAACTCTCCCAAAATCATCAGTTTTTGTTATAGCAAGCTGTTTCCCATTGCTTCCAGTTTTTATGATAAGCTAGGCTAATCGTCTCTTGACTCCAGGCCATACTTAATACTTAACAACATGAGAGTGGTATCAATCTTCTCCTCTCACTCTCGGCAAGAAGATGAATAGGTCTAATTCCTTTTGGTTCTAATAACATTACAAATACAGTACAAGTCTGTCACCAGTCTTGTTCCATGACAACAGTTTCCGGCTTCATCAACCTGTGTGATTCATGGCTTAACTTTTAGTTTTAAAACTACACATTTTAAAAGATAAAGTAAAATGTACAGCACAAATGTATAAATGTTTGTATACATTACAAGTTTGAGGATGGTTGATGTTTTCCACAGCGTCCTTCACACAAACAATTCAGTGCCGTGAGGGAGTGAAGGGACAAATATAAATGTGAAAGAGGAGGTAAATAGAGAGCTGCAGGTTCTGCAGAAGAATTAATGTTCAAAACAAGGAGAGAGGAAACGGAGAGGAAAATGTAGACATTGAAAGGAATCCATACAAAGAAAGAGGGAAAGAGAGAAAGAAAAGAAAAGGGGAGGGATTGAAAATATCCTTTTCATTGACAGACGTACGATAGAGTGAAGGGAAAAGGGTAGAAAAGAGGCAGACAGATGGAGGGATGAGAGAGAAAAAAACGGAGGGCAAGAGAAGAATGAAAAAGAGACATTTCACAGACAAAGTTCAAAGGAACAAAGATGAGAAAAATAAGTTTTTAAAAACCGAGAGAAATCTTTTCCTGTGAGGGATTTTCAGATTAAGGAGGGGAAAAAAACGGTCAGACTTTGCGTGAGCCAGTAGGATTGTATAATTATGTCCAGGGAAACTGTAATCCCCAACACACACACGCACACACAGACACACACACACTCACTAACACACACTTACACACACACACACACTCACTGTTTGTTGACATTAGGTGCTTCATGCGCTCTAAAAATTGAACAAGTGAACCGTGATTCCTCTGCAGTTCAGCTGTCACAATAATGATCACACAGCACAGCTGAGCTTAGGTAGGCATACTGCTCTCTCTCTCTCTCTCTCTCTCTCTCTCTCACACACACACACACACACACACACACACACACACACGTACATCTGAGTGTGTGTGATTGATAGCAGACACACACACACACCTAAACACACGGCTCTTTTCACATGCCACACAGGAGGGCTGCACCATGTCAGGCGAGGAAAGGAGCACAGGGAAGGAGGAGAACGGAGGAAAGAGAGGAGAGGAAATATCTGATTATTGTTTAAGAATTATTCAGCAAGGCAGATGATGTTAATGTTATCCCACAGGCTGCTAACACTATATGTTCTGATACATGTACATGGATGGTTAACTCACCAGAAAGTGCTGCTGGAAGCAGGTCGGCGAAATGTGTAAATAAATCTAGAAAAACCTACTGTTAGACATAATGCTACACAGTGACACTGCCAAGGAGATTGGTCACATACGGTACTGTGCCAACACACAGCAGCTACCTGCCTGGGAAGAGATTTTTAGGACTTTGAGGAGGTTTCACGGCAAATAAAGTCAGAATCTGAAACTGGTCATTTTCTATATTAGTAGGTTCACATACAAGGAATTCACCTCAGTGTTGTGGAGCATTACAGTCAAAATATACAGTAAGTAGAAATGTATACATATAGAATATATGCAATGTAGAGCTGCAACAATTAGTTGATTAATTGTCCACCTTTGATAATCAATTAATAGTAGTTTTTTAAGAAACAAATTCTCCGATTTCAGCCTCTCAAATGTAAATATTTTCTGGCTTCTTTAATCCTCTGTGACAGCAGCTCTCAACCTGATGTCCAAGGACGCCCAGGGGTCCTTGAGAGGGTTTTAGTGGGTCCCTCGAAGAACTGGGAATATTCTTCACTATTATTTCACTGACTAGAACTGAGCCCAGTGACAGAATGTATTAATGACTCCATTCAGCTGATCAGTGGTCCAGTCAGAGCAGTATCCCTGGCTTGCTGGCTGCCGCAGCCTTCCATTGTGCTCTTGGTTTTTTGAACATTGTCTTGTGAAGCGTGAGTTAAGCGACGCCACCTAAGCTGCAGTTCAGAGGGCCGCCGCTGGTCAGTTTGTCTGTCAGAAGCTCTCAGCCTCATAGAGGACTGGACCAGGCAGTCCACTGTGGCTCGGTTGGTTTTAGCTTCCTGTCCTGAAGCTAGCTGTTGTCTGACTGTTAATCTGACTTGTTCTCTAACTAATTATACATCATTTTAAAATAAACCCAAGCTGACAAATCAAGGATAAAACCTTTAATGCAAATTTGAATATGGTCATACAGCAGCCAAACATTGTGTCATTGTAGTTTGAGGCTTTTTTTCGTCCTCTTTTCTGGCTTTTAAGATTATATGGATACTAAATAAAAGAGGAATTTAATCACTAAAATTAAAAAAAGCTTATTTCTGACTGTAAATATAGTGTTCACAGAGGCAGTAAAACCAAACGGACACCAGGACATAAACAATTTGTTGTACCCACTCTTCATTCATCTGCTTCATTTACTTCACTGATTTACTTTCCCAGAATGCCGTTAAACTGCCTTTCAGGGAAGGTTGTATTTTGTAAAAAAAAAGATTTTCCCGGAAGAAAAAGGGACATTTATCTTTTTTTTTCTGTGTGTTTGTCTTATTTTCTGAATCTGCTTTTTAAAGACAATACTTTGTGCTGATTTTACAAGTCCCAAAAAACATACTAAAGCAACACCTGGAACATCCAAAACTGAATATTACGTTGCTGAAAAAAGAAGATCAACCTGCAAACCTGCTGTTTGCATCTCCAAAACATTTTTTTTCTATTCGCATAAAAAGGTTTTCATTTAATTCACCAGCAGACCATAACGTTTGGAGCTACAGCCCACCACTCACAAAACCAGTAATTTTAACCTTGTAAAACACATTTCAAACTGGACAGAAACAAGAATAAACCCGTAATTCATCAAGTTTCATGACAGTGACATTATTGACTAAATGGGAAGCCATTGTCCTCTATGCAGTAGACTTACACTATATATTTAGCTTTTTGCCTTTAAAATCAGTTTTTAAACTGGGGCAATTTTAAGATTCCTCTTTCTGTTCTTCTGTTTATCTCCCTCTCTCTGTCTCTCTGCCTGGTTGACCATCAGACCAAGTGAACCAGTTGCCTGGCCTCATCTCTCAAGCTCTTGGGGGGGGATCAGTCGGGCATTGGAAGATAAATGTTTTCATAAGCATCAGACTCAAATGAGCATGGATCACAACAAGCGGTGATACTGAGCATTGTGCGTTTGTGAAAGTGATCTAAAGTCATAGTTTAATTGGATTGTAAATGGCTGATTGTGGGTTTCCTCACTCGGCAACAGAACAGGGATCTCCCTCTCAGGCTGCACGGTGTAATTGCGTGTGGAGATGGAGAGTTGTAATGACAGGCCGGCGTGAATGTGCTCCAATAATGGTGCTTAGCGGGCAGATAGCAATCAGACAATGATCCAACCAGACTTCATTTAGCCCTTATTATCTGGACAGTCCTTACCCTGTCCATCTTGCAGCAAATCATATTCTTGGTATGTAAATTGTGCTGACACTCAACTGGTTTTGTGTGCTGACTGTTGTCTTGTTTTGTGGCTTTTTGCCCATCTGGCTGTCCGTTTAGTTTAATCTACTACAGTAAATAGAGCATCATACAATTATGATCTCAACTCTATGCAATTAGCATCCCTTCATGTGTTCAGGTAAAATTACACATATATCCGTTTTTACAACTCATTCGCACCAGGAAGTTTCCCACTACAGCAGTGGTTTAACGTCTGACCCTGAGCAGCTCCACCACAGCAGGCGAGGTGAAGTGTCAGGAGCACTTAAGCACAAGAGTTTTAAGTAGGAGAGAGAGTTTGAATTTACTATAAAAACCTAGATTAACCCACAGCTGACCAGTCATATATCTGCTTCACTGTGTGTAGGTTGATGACTCTCAGTAAAAACTGAGAATTTGCACAATTTTTCAATCAACATGTGACCCATACTGCGCACAACAGCAAACCCTCTATACTCAATCCAGATGCCTCTAACTCGTTCTCACCCCTCTGCAGGTGTCCTACGTAAAAGCCATCGATATCTGGATGGCCGTGTGTCTGCTGTTTGTGTTCTCGGCCCTGCTGGAGTACGCCGCCGTCAACTTCATCGCCCGCCAACACAAGGAGCTGCTGCGCTTCAGACGGAGGCGACGACACATGAAGGTGAATACTCTCTCACATCTGTGATACAATCAAACATTTACATTTGTTCTGGGTTTTTTTTTTCTGGTGCGTCAACAGAGATACCAGCTGAATTGAAGAGTTGTATTCCAAAAACAGATATTATCCATGTGACAGAGGTGATTCAGTAACAAAACATCCGATAAAAGAAAATGACACCAGCTTTTGGTTTGTTTTGAAGAATAATATATGACTTAAGGATATGACAAATGCAAAACATGAAAGATGATTTGTTTTTGTGGAATCGCTCTTCAGTCCTACTGATCCACAATCTTCCATATGTGCCCTTTTTTACATTCTGTCCTTCAGCTGTTTAAAAAGAAAGGATCTTTAAGAACAAGACATAACCAGATGAACTCTGTTTTCCAATGGTCAGACGAAAACAGTTCAACAGCTTCATTGTCGTCTCCAACCGCCCAAACTGGAGAGAAACAAACAAATAGTTTAAAACCACAAATGTGTTGTTTTTAAGGGATGAGACACGGTACCAAAGCTGCTGGGCAGCCTCGTGTTTTTAACAGAATAAAATATTTTTGCTTGTTATTTGGTCAGTTTGGCACTGTAAACACTAGAATGCAGTTTGGATAAAAATCCCTGCTCTTCTCCATCCTCAGGCCTCCTGAAAAATTCACTGCGTGTTTGATATTTGCTTTGTGCGGTGCTCATCACCGGGCAGAAACACAGGGCATCAATGTTTCATGGGCGGAGCATTGAGCATGATTAAAAGCTGCGCTGTGGAGCAAACAGAGACGAGGCTCATAATGGATTCATAATGTTGAAGAGGAGAAAAAAAAAACTTTTCCCTCTGCTCTGAAACTTTTGTTAGTGGAAATGCAACATTTACAAGAAACAGCAATGAGAGCGTTGCAGTCTTTTTTAGGGGGTTGGGTGTGTAGTTGTGACTGTGCTTCTCAATGAGAATGTGTGTGCCTATGTAGGACTAAAACCCGCGTTTTAGTCAGTTTTAGTTTTTAGTTGTAGCGTGATCTATGTGCTGTGTGTCTCTTACTTTTGTAATAACATTATAGCAAAGTCCACATCCTGTTAAAACACAAAACAGCAAATGTTTAGTTGAAGTTCAGATTCATCTCTGACCTTGGAAACAGCAGTAGAGCACCACAAGGTCCATAGATGTTCTGGTGCTTTAGATCATACAGTTTGCCCAATTATTATGGAAATGTAAACTTTCAAATTTAATTTTACGAATGGAAGGACTTCTCGTCCATGGTGGCTGACAAGTTGGGGTTCAAAGTTCATTCTAGGCCTCGGACACAGATCATGTGATATGATGGAAAGCTCCAGAAAGGCCATTAAATGGACCTCATGGTGAGATTGTTTTCTCAGCCTCTGTTTCCGAGGCCAAGAATAAACTGTGAACTTCAGTTTTTAAAAAGGACGAAACAAGAACGATAATAACAATAATAATGTGGGAGTCCACACTGAGGAAGCACGCTGCAGCTGTGTCGGCAGGTCCATTCTCTACAAAGGAGGTGAGACAGGTATAATCATCTCCTCATCTCTGTTTATAATAATAACAAAACACTTTACAATAATTGTGAAGAAAGCCTGATCTTCTTCTTGATAGCGTCTTTATAAACAGTTTATCAAATATAGGTGGAGTTTTTTTTTTTATCTACGCCATGTAGATTCAGATGGATTTTGATCGGCTTCTATTGTTCATCAAATGGCTCTGAGAGTTATCCTAACGATTTAAAAAAATGGAAATTTGAACATCTACAATTCAATGACAACTGGGTAAACGCCATCTGCCGAGGAAGAATATGATCAAGAGCTCCAGAGCAAATACCAAATGGACCTTGGTGTGAGACTTTTGGTGAAACTAAGCTGAACTAAGTGGCTCAAAATGTCTAATTACCCTTTTATTAATAACTGTAATTGAGAATTTAGCAAACAGCAAGGTGTTTTGTGTTTGGGAGGATCATATGTCGACATGGGTGTGTGTGTCCTTTGTACCATATTAAAACACTTTAACCTGTTAATTTGGCCGCCGTTGATGAAAAACGTAGCAGCGTTTAAACATGATCCACATCAACCTCTCTTTGTCTTGACATCGCTGTGAAGACAAAAACAAATATAACCGCCTCAAAACCACCTTAAATCTTTTATTAGCTGTCTCAAAGCAGAAGAAGAAGACAACTTTTGATGAAATGAAGATAAAGCGGAGACCTGAAAGTATGTCACTTTATTTAATTTCTGCAAACTGCTGCTTTGGATATATTTAGTAAAAATGACAAAAGGACCATGTCAAATTTTCCCTGGAGGACTGTTGAGATGTTGGTTTTTTCTCCCTTCTTCTACTTTCTTTCGTTGGTTTTGCCTTTGAAGCATTTAATCAATCAATTCTATCTGTCCGGTTGGATTTATCAGTCCCAGGCTGCTGTATTGAATAAGGAGTAAAGCTGTCAGGCCTGCAGGGAATATTGAAGTGCTGGTTGATTGTGAAACTGATGCTTTGTGTGTTTGTGTGGGTGGAGGGCAAGAAAACACAAACACCCACAAGAAATGCAACGATGCGCCTGCAGTAAACAATGCGCACAGTCCTGGATTGGTTGGTGTGTGTGAATGTGTGTGTGTGTGTGAGAGAGAGAGAGAGGGAGGGGGAGATTGTATCTATACAGCCGGTGAACATGCATGAGTGCGTTCCCAGAGTGCTGTCGTGCATTTTGGTGTTGTAGGGCATGTGTTCGTGCCTGCTAGGATGGAGCTGCTTGATTGAGTTTGACACATTTTAGTGTGTGAGAACGTGTTCGTGCCTTCCTGTATTTATGAGGACCTCGTGTCCACGCAAGGCTGGTAAGGGGACATATAGGAACTACTAAACTGACCTTGTGGTAAGATTCTTTTCTCAACAAAACAAAAAACAAGAAGTCTTTAAAAAAAATAAGTAGTAGAGCTTTTAAACCTTCAGGTTTATTTTGTGACCACTTCGGGGATCTTGACCCCCAGGTTGGGAACCACCTTTCATAAACGACAACTGAGACATGATACCCCGAGTCTTATCATATTTGATACATGAGTTTCTGAGACCTCATCCCCATGAACAATACTTTCCTGAAAAACCTGTCATATCCAATCTGACATGTCTTCTGCCCTCTGGTGGATTGGTGGTGTGACATTTATATTGTTACTAATATTTCTAATATGAATATAAGTGTAATGAAGAAACTTTATTTCTAGTAAAATCTTGTAGAAATTGTATCAAATATGATACCACAGCTATAAAAGGTAATTTATGCCTACCACAATGCCATTTACACTTTGATTAAATTAAAGTGGAAATTGAGATATTTTGTGTTTTATATACGCAATGTGCTCTCATTATAATCACTTGCTAAATAAAAACATTGTGTTTTAGTCAATAGGTCCAATAAGCACTTCAGTTTCAAGAGAAATTATTTTTTTTATGTGTCAGCCTTCGCAAGCTTAGAGGTCCAGTGTGTAACATTTAGGAAGATCTACTGGCAGGAATGGAAATGATGCCCATTGCTATGTTTTAATTAGTGTATAATGAATCACCTGAAAATAAGAATCATTAAGTCTTTGTTACTTTAGAGATAGAAGACGGGTCCGTACGGCCTCCATAGTTTATCCGTAGGGAAGGGCAATATGAAACTGCTACATGCCACTAAATCTTAGACACGGGACAATAAAGCTACCAAATTAAATTTCAAATAGCATCATTCTCACTTGGACAAATCCAAATTAAAGGAGGAAAATGGGAAGTTTAGATGAACAAATCATAACATGCTGTTTGTGAACGCACCCTAAATTTAGGAGAGTTTAACATCAAGTTCAGTGAAGTGTGAAAGGGAAAGAAAGTCATGAAGTTGAGTGTGTTTGTGGTAAAAAAAAATATATGTAAGAATAAAAAACTATAAATCCTAAATCCTATTGTTGTAATCCCCAATCCCCTGAGCTGTGATGGTAGGTGAAGAGATAGATTAGCGGTCCAGCTGCCGCTGCACTTTCAGGTGAATCACACTACCCTGACCGCCTTGCTCGCTCGCTCTGTTTGTACACCTCTCTCTATGTCTCTCAACCCTCTCTCACCCCCAACAGCAGGAGGAGAGAGCGAGAGGACCGCGGGCTCAGGGTTGACCCACATCTGGCACACCAAACCTTTTGCATAGTTTTTTTTTTCTTCTGTTACACAGTTTATTTCTGCTCATATGACGAAAGCTGGAGGTGAATTTAGGCTATGGGTCTGTTACGTAATGTGAGTTTTGTTAATGAAGGATCTCGTCTGTTCAGTTGAGGTCAAAATCTTACAGACGTTCACAGCTGACAGCATTACTGTTATTGAGGAATACTTATCTATATGTGTTTTTTCAGCTCATATCACAAAAATAAGTGAATTCAGGGTTCGCAGACTCTTACGTAACATGATTTGTTTTTAACAGAGAGATTTTCTATGTTATGTTGTGCAGCAGAAGGCGTATGTACGGCTAAAGCTGAGCTGTGTTATATGTTTGATTTTGTTCATTACATGTGTCTGATGGTTTTTTTTAGTCTCGAGGTAAATTCAGGTGACTGCACAGTCTATTTTTCACACTGTGTGATTTATTTATTAGGGATTTTCTATCCATAACATGCAGCAAAAAGCAAATGTATGTGAATACGCACTTAATGCCCTTTCACACCAGAAGCAAACATGTTAAAAAATAAATGTACCGTACTTAGTACTGTCAGGCAGTTTGATGAAAGCATCAACCAAATGACAAAGATGTTACTGAAAGCGGAAACATCGCCTGATATTGTATGAAAATTTAATGAAAACAGATTACGCTTCTCAGCAGGAGAGTAAGATAGAGACAAGAATAGGATAAATAGAGGGTAGTTAAAGGAATCAAAGACATTATTACTACACAAAGATTACAACATTCCACTTATAGAAACATTTTTAGAAATCCATGGTTACACATTAACTACTAATTTCCATAAAAGTGTACATGCAGAATGCA